TTTGATAAAGATTCGATAGTAGTTGACAAATTCCAAAATGCATTGGACATCTCTTACCGATTTTGGAATCTTCCAATCTATAATAGTTTAAACTTTCTTACAATCCATCATAAGTCCATCATTTGAAATGATGTATTCTAAGAAGTCGACTTGAGTAGTGTGAAATATAGACTTTTCTATCTAGGCATAGAGTTTTGCATCTCTTAGTTTTTGTAACACATGACAAACATGAAGTTCATGTTCTTCTATGTTCTTATGTCATTTATGCCACACCTCTTTTTATTGGTGGAAAGACTTCAAGTGGCATTCCAAGCCAATATCAAGATTTTTAAGATGTATTTGAAAAGAAAAAATGTGGATACTCTTTTGGAACATCATTCCTATGACTGCTCAATTGACCTTCAACAAGGAGCACAACTACCATTTGGACCAATCTACAATTTATCTCAAAATGAGTTAGCTAAATTCAACAAATATATTAAAGAAAATCTGGCCAAGAACTTCATACGCCATTCTAAATCTCCACCAAGAGCTCCAATTTTATTTGTGAAGAAAAAAGATGGATCATTGCGGATGTGTATTGATTATCGAGGACTCAACAAAATCACCATCAAGGACAGGTATCTGCTACCTTTGATATCTGGACTCCTTGATCAGTTGAATCAAGCTAAGATCTATATAAAAATAGATCTATGAGGAGCATACAATCTAGTATCCATCAAAGAAGAAGATGAATGGAAGATTACATTTTGAATAAACTACTATGACCATTAGTTGCTATTTCTATAGTAAGGATTTCATGAGTAACATCTCCTAAAGACAAAATCTTTAGAATCTAGCAAGGAAGAGGCTTTAAAATGTTTAGGTCCTAAAATAATATTTATTATAAAATATAGAGAGGGTTCTGAGGAGAGAATAGGACCTTTACTAGGTATTGTACAAGGTTCCACCCGCATGGTCTCTATTGTAGCTAGACAAATTCGTTTTTCGACATGCTATCTTCTTTGATCGCTTTACTCCTCATTTTATGGTTGCATGGCTTCTTTGGACAATATTGAGAAGTGTGCTTAGATTCTCTATAATATAAGCACAATCCTCTTAAACGACAACGAATCTTTTCTTGCTCAGTAAGAGGTTTGAAACGTACCGCATCAATTTGTATATCCTCTACTTCCAAATATATGTATTAAAGAGATATTGGTGTTGCCATTGAATTATAGTAACGTTGAGGTCTACTTGTATAGTTCTCAGATTGGAATTCAAAAAGACGATTGTCGTATTTCACAACAAAGTCAATTATTTGACTCAATGTTTGATGATCAGATAAGTTAAGCATTAATTTTTTTACCTCATATTGTAATCCGTAGAGAAATTGGCTAACAAGTCCGGTAACATCTCACTTGATATCAATTGCAAGTTGTCAAAACTGTGAAGCGTACAATATTACTAATTGATTGCCTTGTCGCAAAATATGGATCTTGTTGGTTGCAACACTAATTGCATCATATTCTTCATATATAAATCAAAACTCTACCAAAAAAGCCTCTACATTATCTAATATTGGATCTCGTCATTCAAGAAAAGATGAAAACCATGATAATGCTGAACTTGAAAGAAGCGTACCAATGAATCTAACTTACGATCTTGGAGTTGAATAGCTTTGGGATTGAAGTTCAATCACAAGTTGTACTTTATTGATAAATCCTCTAAATTTTGATCTGGTGCCATCAAACTTCTCGGATAGCACAATTCTAGGTTCTCTAACACTAGAAGGGCGTTCCACCATAAGAGAAGGGACATGATTTGGTGCAGATGTTGAAGGAGCTCCAATCATTTCTATATCTTCACTTTCTGCCAATCTTGTTGTTCCTTGTAGTATTAAATTGAGTTGATGCATTGCAAGCATTAACTCCCTCAATTGTTCTTGCATTTGTGCCATTGCACACTTCATTTCAAGAAGTTCTACCATGATATCACTTAGAAAAAAGATGTCTAATATTACTCAAGATAAATAGAAGAGAGGACTTGAGAACAAAGAAAATACTAAGGATAATATCAATTTAGTAGAGGGTAATCCGCAACTTCTAATACGCTTATGTCTTATCAAGAGAAAGGGGTAATCCACTCTTAATCAAGATTAAACAAAGCTCTAATATTGTAAGTGTACTCTTATCAATCTATCAAGGATAAGATCTTAATAAAAATAAATAAACAAGTGAGACTTCTTTTAAAGAAAGATGACAAAATAGAAATAACTCAATATGTATATTAAGAAAGAAATTCGAATGGCTATTGCCAAAAGATTAGAAAACTAGAGACTCGAGAAATTGGACTAGAAGTAAGAAAAGAGTTGACAAGACTGAAGAAAGCTTCACTCTTGTCTCTATATATACTATCTAACTAGATGCTATATGGCGATGTTCTATAGGACCTCCAATATGTGTTGACTTTGTAGGTTATATGCCTTGACTTACAAGGCAAGTTTTTCTATGTGTGGGCTACATAATTAACTTGGTCTTCAAGCTAACAACATGTATGGTACATGGCCAACTTATTGACTACGTTTCTAATCCAAAAAGTCAATTAAAAACACTTAGAAAGTCAAAGCAGCATCTTTAAAGCTTCTAAGAAGCTTCCATAACAAATATTATCGAATTAAGTCACTTTTATCTACTTTTACTTACTTCTATCTATTTATACATATAATTATTGGCTTACATGCGTATGTCCGTGACAATCATATAGGATATTGTTATATTGTCATGATGTAATTCAACTAATGAATGAAAGAGAAAAGAAAATATTATATTATAGAAGGTTTTACTTTAAAAAATTATAAAAAATTATCTTAATATAAAGATAATAGTCAAAAGATTGTAAAACTAAAGGATACTATTGCTGTCTCTTTATGAAATAGACTTCTATTTATTTTGCAGGGCCATGAATACGACAAAATAAAGTAGATTGGAAAATAAAATAATATATATATATATATATATATATATATATAAGAAGAAGTTAAGAATAGTTTTTAGCAAAATTTATCTTAAGAAGGTAAGAATTGATACCTAAAGAGGACTAATTGTCAACTTATGTCGAAATCAGATCCTGAGGGACAAAACCATACACCTACAGTGATTCTAGGATTCTTTGTTAGATTAGAGAATGGAATTTGAGAGAAAACATGTAAAAAAAATTTGGAGCATTGATTTTATGTCAATTGAGTTAATATTTAGTTTTTGGGAGATTTTCAAAGTTAGTGATTTTTTTGGTTGGATTAGATTTTGAACAATAAAATTATGTTTATAAAATTGAAGATTTCCTTAGTTTTGTGGTATGTATATAAGTGAATTTTGGGCAGTATGTTGGTGTTCTAGTAATTATTGTGTACTCAAATTTTGAGATCAATCAAATAGTTAGATCAAAAAATATAAAGATTTTTGTAGGTTGAAGTCTTAGAAATTGGAATTTGAAGGTCATTGAATATTTTTAAGATCTTTAGTAATCTATTAATTGGATTGAAGTTATTTATTTTATTTTTTTTTTAGAAACTAGACTTTACTTCCAATAATTAAGATGTATTTTAGAAACAATGCAACAGTTCAAGAAGGAGATATTGGCACTCAAAGTTCAATATTTAGATTGGAGTAGGAGGCCAACCAACACTCAAGTGGAATTCAGATTTGATCTTCTATTTGATAAAAGGACCTTCTTCAAATTTTGTGTATTTGTTGCCAACTTAATTATTGAGAGGTGTGTAAAATCTTAAGTAAGATTAAAAATATAATCAATAGATATTGAGGTTCTAAATTGCCTTAGGATTAAGTTAATTTAATTAGGATTTGGTTTAAGGTTTAATAATTGATTAGAATTTAGGATTTATTTAGAGTTTAGGATTAGTTAGGATTTAGTTAGGATTTGATTTAGGATTTAATTAAACACTATTAGGATTTTAACTACAGTTAAATTAAAATTTGGTTGAAATTTATTTAAGATATATTTTGGATTTTATTCTAATATTTCTTTTGAATTTCTTTAAAATTTGTTCATTCTTCTTTTGTAATTTTTTTGACGTTTCTTTTGATTTGATTAAAATTTGATTAGCATTGTTAAGATTTAATTGGAGTTATTTAAGATTTTATTAGAATTGAAATCTTATTACAATTTTCTTTCTATCTTCTACAGCAAGGTGCTTGGTGCATTCTCAAGTAAAGCTTTACATAATATGACAATATTATTCCTAGTTAAGAGTATATATGGAGGCAAGAGTGAAGCCTTCTTCACTCTTGTTAATGTCTTTCAAATCTTTAGTCTTATTTCAAGACTTTCTAGTCTTCTTATCTTTGGCAATAGCTATTCTAGTTTAATATTATATCATCCTTGATTGATTTTCTAGTCTTTTTGAGTGATTCAAGAGTGTATTGAGGTTTTCTTTCTTCAAAATTCATATTCTTCCTAGTTGCCCTTGATTCCATATTCATAACTCATAGTTGACACTTCCAATAAATATATTCACCATTTTTAACTTTTCCCCCATAGGATTGTTTCTCCTAATTACAAGCACACTCAATACCCTCAAACTAACCTAAATCATAATTTACATGAATACCAATTTCTAACCAATTTCAAGTATTCATCTTCCTATGTACAAAGGATGTGGTAGATTCCTTGGTGGCAACTAGTCACCTTCATATTCAATTCAATTCAATCATTGTTTTCTCTGTATTCCAAGGGTAGTAGGTCGCTTCTTGCTTGTAGAACGCTCACAAAAGCAAACAAACAAAGAGTCAGAGAATGGATCATTGCCGCAGAAGGGAGCAGAAGAATACACACACAAACAGATAAAAATATTTATCCATTTATCCTGCATGCGAATGCTCTCAAAAGGTGCTGCTGCTGCTGCGGGGCCCAGGGGTCGACGCGCGCGCACCGCGGCATCGCCTTCGGAAGCGCGTCACTCGACCGAGTTTTTCTCCATTAATGTGTTGCGCCTTGTCCCCGGATGCATCGCGAAACGGGCACAATTTCTAGACAGACCCCGACCTGCTAGAACCCACAATTCCTGCCCTAAGAGGACCCAACTGCCATCCGTCGGGAGGGGACCAGGATCGCTGAAAAAGTTCGCATCATGGTCCAGTCGCTAGTCCCACCACAACGCCAGCAGCTCCGTCGCCACTGCACGCGCTCTTGCCAGGTTGCTCGTTTGCCCCTATCCGTCTTCGAACCACCACGGTTTCTATAAATTCCAGAACATCCTTGCATTGCTGGAAACGCCGCTAAATTTGCACCACCTGGAGATGTGCCTAGTGAATAGCATCTTGTCGCAACTGCGCGAGCGATTGTGAGATTTGTGTGTTTTGAGACTTGAGGGGTATTTACGCCGGAGGTGTTTAAGAGCTGAGTTTGCGAGTGGTGATTTTATTTTGGTTTTTTGTTATTTTAGTTTATTTGCTGAAGGATTTGGCAGGGGAGGCTGTTTTTTGTGAAGTGCTGAGAAGATGTCGTCGTTTGCGTTGGAGGATTTTGTGGGAAATGGTGTGCTGCGGGACCAGATGGAGAGTTTGATGGCGGATGGGTGGGACGATGTTCCTACCCTGAAAGTGATGAGTAGAGAGGATATGGATCTACTTCAGCTCAGCCAGATGCAGCGGGTACGGTGATGAGTCTTCCCTTGAAGTTCAAGTTTATATGTTGAAATTCTACCTCCTCGAGGTGAAGTGAGAGTTCTTAGGGCAGTCTGGTTGGTGAAATCGGCCTTGTACTTTTTAAGTAGGGGATATGGAGTGTTTTTGAGGCTTTGTAAGGTGTCCACTTTGGGCGTCACTCAGCTACTAGAGAGAGATTCGCAACAGTCTGTTACAGTTACGCACGCACTCAATCGAGTGAATTAGGATTAGAAATTTCTGCGAGGATCAATTTCGCGCTCCTTGATCGACAAATCTCGCTACTCCCTGACTTTGGCAGATGAAGTGGCCACATCGTTAGATTTCCATTTCGACAGCTGAAAACTTCCTTGGATTTGCTGATTTTATATCTCCAATCTTGTATAGATTCCCAGCAGCGCATCAGGACACTTCGCGAAAGTTTTTCAACTTGAAATTCGTAAACCTCAGGACTTACGTAAGCATGACTTGTAAAGGAACGCGCTGTTATGGAATTTATGAGAGGGCGACTCTGAGTGCCTTCCCTAAAAAGTATCTCGAAGTTCTTCCATCGAAGTAATCGCGGAGAATTGTCTCCGAGTGCAGACTGAGCTGCTTTCCAAAGAAAATCACACTGAATCGAAAACGTTTGCTCATTCGTATCATCTGAACCCTATTCTATGGCGGTGTGCAGGACGCTTTGGAACTGCGTACTTACCTCCATGATAAACTGCTCATGGAATATGCCGATACGTTGGAGGCCTCCGGGAAGAATTTGCAGGAGCTTCTGAAAAGCAGTCCTTCCGAGCTGTCTAGCGAGTACAAGATGAAGAGAGGTCATGTGGCAAGGTTCTTGGACAGGGGTAGTGCTTGCGGTATTCAGGTGCCCAACGATCTCGTCATTCCTGCACGGAAGGCCACCGCCGCTCATCACGGGGGAGCCTCTCTGTCCCCTCCGAGATCCATGTCGGTGTCACCACCCAGACAGAGACGCTCTGAATCCAGCAATGCCAGCTATGCAGATTCGAGAGCTTCCCCACCTGAGGAACAACCAGGTAATACCCTCGCGGCCATATCCTTTTCTGGTTTTAGTGCTCATCATGCTCTGAATTGTTTCGAATTCTTTCTGAATGAGGTGTGAAAATTTCTGCAGAGCACAAGCCACCCGTGATAGTTAGACCTATGACTTCACAGGCACCTCCGGCCAGCCACGCGATTTTCTCAGCCCCAAAGGTGGAGCCCCGGCTTTGCGGATTAGTGAAGCTGGGAGTGATGAAGGAGGAAGTGACACCTCTCTCGGCCCTGGAGAATATTATGATCCAGAAGCTGGCGCCGCAGCATAGCAAGGGTGTCAATCCCTTCAAAGGAAAAGAGCCCATTCAGTTGGCTGCTCCGTTCAAGGCTTCTCAGTTGTGGGCCGAGAAGCCCACCCTCATTCTGTGCCTACGCCGTCCAGGGTAAGCATGACTCCTCCTGCTACTCATCTGGAACGACGAAATCTGAGTTTTGAAGCTAGTCTCCGGAATAACTTTAGTTCTCAGAAGCGGAAATTGACCTACCATTGTCAAACGACGCAGGTGCGTGATGTGCCGCGCCGAAGCTCACCAATTGTATGCCAGGAAGCCCATTTTTGATGCGATGGGCATCCAATTGGTGGTCGTGCTCAACGAACACATCGACGCCGAAGTGCGGCAGTTCTGGCCCCGCTACTGGGGTGGCATGGTGGTGGCTGACACCCACCGGGACTTCTTCAAGGCGCTTGGACAAGGAGAGCTTCCCAAGGAAGGATTCGTCACAGGGTTCCTCCTCAACAGCATTGCCAAAGCCAACTACAAGCGAGCCAAAGCCACTGGGGTTGAAGGCAACTATGCCGGCGAGGGCACCATCAAGGGAGGCTTGTTCATCATGCGCCCTGGAAATGGGGGTGTCGCTTACCAGTTCGTTGAGCGGAACTTCGGCGATTGGGCACCAATCGAAGAAGTCCTCGAAGTCTGCGGCAACATTCAGGTACTACTTAGTCAATCACCTCTGTACTAAGCTTTAATCTTCTCCGCTCTTATCCTGCATGATTTGTGCACTACTTCTCCGCCACCTTCGTCATCTAATCGTTGCTTTCTCTTGGTACCTGGTGCAGAATCGGTGATGAATTCAATCTCGAAAGTTGTGGATTCATTTGTACAGTAACACCAAGCTGCACAATAGTAAACCATTATGTTATTATACAAATTTTTTTTAGGTGACTGAACCATAGGATTTTACACGACGTAGCTGCCTTTGTGGTGGTTGTGTCTCGACACCACGAGCAGCAATAAATACAAGCAGAAAAGAGCGTAAAAAAGGTTACTTACGGGTGACTCAACAATGGCAGCTGCCAGCGTCCAGTAATGACTATTGTGATTATTTTTTGAAGAATACATAGCCATCAGCTAGATTGTTTCATACAGTACATCTGTGCTCACACAAACATTACATGGTTTCAAGTATCATTAATTTTATAATGGTCCAAACAGTCGTCACTCGTTCAAAAACATGAAACTATTCAGGATCTAACTTGAAAGAGTAGAGTGGGTCGGAGCTATTTGTACAAACACCAGCAGAGTCACCGGCACTGCCACTTCAGCTTTCTTTTCTTTAAGACTGTATTCTTTGACTGAAGATAAGTATAATAGTTTGTGGTATTTTTCATCATTTATATATATATATATATATATAGATATATTTGCACATCATTAAGAACTATGTTTGTTACATTTCATACATATTTATTTATAAGATTTTTTTTAATGTAATAAGTATGATATAGTTATTTAATTTATTATTATGTAATATATAAATCTACTTCATATTAATTATTGTTACAACAACATGATGTATGCTATTTTTTATTATATTTATTATTTTAAAAGTTTCTTTTTTAAATGATTAAAAGTGAATTTATAAAATATTATATCTTTTTACTATGAATAAGAAATTATTAAATATTTAAGGTATAAGAATTATACATTTCAAAGATGAAATATAATAAGTTGGAAGCTTGCGTAATTCGTAGTAAAGATCATATTCTTTATTCAAATTCCTTACATTGTTTTTACAATAGAAGTTTGTTTAGGACCAAAAAATCACAAAGTCTTAGCTTTGTTAGATTCAAGAGCTTCAACTTGTTTTATAGACAATGACTTTGTCAAAAAACAAGATATATCCTTAGTTAAGAAAACCAATCCTATGCATGTAAAAGTAATAGATGGTCATTCATTGTCTTTTAGAGATGTTACATATGAAACTATTCCTTTAGATGTAGCAATTAGTGGTTATAATAATTTAATAATATTTAATGTGATTAGATCTCCTTCTAATCCAATTATTTTAAGATTATTGTGATTAAAAAGAATAATCCCCAGATAGATTGGATTTCTCATAACCTTGATTTTTGGATAGTTTAGCCTAAGGTACTACTAGGCAAGTAGAAATCCATAAGATCAATACATCGAAACCATTATTGATAGATGCGAGAACTTTCATGCATGTTGCAAAAAAAGTGTCATCTTTTGATATATACATCATATCTATTGTTGATGGAAAAAAAAATTTAAGTGGCATTCTAAGCTAATATCAAGATTGTCAAGATGTTTTTTTAAAAAAAAATGTAGATATTCTTCCAAAGTATCATTCTTGATTGTTCCATCAATCTTCAAGAAGGAGCTTAACCACCATTTAGACCAATCTATATCCTATCGCAAAACAAGTTGGTTTCACTTAAGGATTACATTGATGAAAATTTGGCTAAAAACTTCATATACCATTCCAAATCTCCAATTGGAGCTCCTATCTTATTTGTGAAGAAAAATGATAGATCTTTGCAAATGTGTGTGGACTATCGAAGGGTCAACAAGATCACCATCAAGAATAAGTATCTACTATCTTTGATTTCAAGAGTTTTTGAACAACTGAATTAAGGAAAGATTTATATATATATAATAGATCTATAAAGAGCATATAATTTGGTATGCATTAAAGAAAGAAATGAATAAAAAACTATGTTTTGAACAAAGTATGGACATTTCAAATATAATTTCATGTCTTTTAGACTCATGAATGCCCTAGCTATTTTTTAACATCTAATGAATGATGTCTTTTGTGAGTGTCTTGATGATTTTGTTGTTTTTTTTTTATTTAGATGACATTATTATCTACTCAAAGAATACAAAAGAGTATGAAATTCATATTTGTTGTGTATTATAAAAACTAAGTGATAAAAGTTTATATGCCAAGATAGAAAAGTAAGTATTTTACATTACTTAAGTTGACTTCTTAGGATACATTATTTCAAATGATGGTCTTATAATGGATTCTAAAAAAGTCCAAACTATCATGGATTGGAAGATTCCAAAAACAATCAAAGATGTGATGTTTTTTGAGAGTAGCCAATTCATATAGAATCTTCGTCAAAAACAATTTTCAAGCTGTGGTTCCTCTTATATGTCTGATATGTATAGAAAAAATTTAATTAAGCAATAAAAAAGAAGTATCTTTTGAAGCATTAAAAAAAAATATTTCTTTTTATACCAATTTTTTATAATGTCAATTTTTTTAAGGCATTCTTCATTGCAACAAACACTTCTAATTTTGCTATGGATATGGTTTTGTTACAAATGGAAGTGGATGATAAGTTCTATCTAGTGGCTTTTCATTACAAGAAATTTTCACCAATTAAAATTGACTATGAGATCTATAACAAAGAGTTTTTTACAATCTTTGATTCATTTTAAGAATGGCATTATTATCTAAAAGGCACCTCAAGTCTAATCACTATATATACAATATTGTATTGTAGTTCGGCTACCATGTGAAATTTCTAAGATTCCAGAAGATTGGTAGCAAAGTTAGGATTTATTTTTTTTTGTAGTAAAGCTTTAGAATAAGTGCTACGTTGTTTAAAAATTCAAAAAAAATTGAATAGTTGGATCAAGTGATATGAATTTCTAAAGTTTGAGAAGAAGAAATGTTTTGCAAGAAAAATAAGTTTTGAGGGATTTTGCTATAATTTGGATACTTTATATAAAGTGATGAGGTTTTGAAAGCCAAGACTTTGTATATAAGTTAAAGATGGAATAAATCACTTATTCGATCTTAGCCAATAGGTAAAAACTAAATTTTCTATATCTAGATATATAGTATATTCATAAATAACAAATCATGTTATACAACAATACCATTCTAAATTTTAAGCAAAAACTCAAATTCGTTTGTGAAGAAAAATGATAGATCATTGTAGATGTATATTAATTATCAAGGGTTCAATAAAATCACCATCAAGAACAAATATCCGCTACCTATGATATGTAAAATTTTTGATCAGTTGAATTAAGGTAAGATCTATACAAAAATAGATCTACAAGGAATATACAATCTCATACGCATTATAAAAGGAGATAAATAGAAGACTATATTTTAAACTAAGTATGAACATTTCGAATACAACATCATACCTTTTGGACTTACAAATGCACCAACAACTTTCCAACATCTAATGCATGATGTCTTTCAAGAGTTTTTAAATGGTTTTGTTGTTTGTTATCTAAAATACATCTTAATCTATTCTAAGAATATAAAAATAAAAATAAAAAAATAAAAAAAATAAAAAAAATTATATTTGTGATATATTACAAAAACTAAAAGATGCGACATTCTATACCAAGAAAAAAAAGTGAGTATTTCACATTACTCAAGTCAAATTTTTAGGATATATTATTTCAAATAATAAACTTATGATAGATTTTAAGAAATTTCAAACGATTATAGGTTGGAAGATCTCAAAAACGGTAAGAGATGTTTAATGCTTTTTGGAATTTGCCAACTACTATTGGATCTTTTTTAAGGACTTCTCTCAAGTTGCAACTCTACTTACAAGATTGACTTATAAAGTCAAACTTCAATGGAATCAAGAAATAGAAGCAGTATTTGAAGCTTTGAAAAAAGCCTTTATTTTTGTATCAATCTTGTATTGCATTGACTTTTCTAAGATATTTTTTATGAAAATAAATACATCAGATATTACATTAAATGTTGTATTGTTACAAATAGAAAAAAAATTTAAACTTCACTTAGTAGATTTTTATTCAATAAAATTTTTAGTAGCTAAGATCAACTATGAGATTCATGACAAAGAACTTCTTATAATTGTGAATTTGTTTCAAGAATGGTGCCTTAATCTAGAAGATGCTTTTAATCCAATGACTATTTATATGAATCATAAGAATCTTAAATTTTTTATGTCAACACATGTTTTAAATTATCGCCAAACTTATTAGAGCATGTCTTTGTAAAGATTCAATTTCAAAATCACATATTGACTTGAAAAATGATAAGATTTGTCAGATGCCTTTTTAGAATATTTTTATCTTATAATAAAAGAAAAAGATGCATATTTTGATCAACAAAGATTAATTCTTTTGAAGCCAAAGCATTTTCTTTTTATCTTTGAGCAATAAAATCAACATTGGATGTTGAATCAACCTTCGTCAAACAAATTCAATTAAGTACGTCTTTTGATCCTCTTATTCATGATATCAAGAATCCTTCTTCTAAATCTCATGATGCTTCCAAGTTTGAGATCAAAAATAACCTACTCTATTTTGAAAGATACCTATATATTTTAGAAGGAGAATCATCTTTATGTGTTCTTCAAGCACATCATGACTTTCTAGTGGCTGGACATTTTGGATACAATAAGATTTTAGATCTTATATCTAAAAATTTTTGGTGGTTGCAAATATAGAAGGCAGTGAAAGACTTTGTTCAATCATGTGACATTTATTTAAGGTCAAAAATCCCTTATCATTGAGCCTATGGACTTTTCTAACCATTTTCCATATTCAAACAACCATGGTCTTCTATTTCTTTGGATTTTATTACATATCTTTCAGTCTTAAGTTTGTATGATTCTATATTTGTAATAGTAGGTCGTTTTACCTAGATGGCACATTTTTTACCATGTATAAAATCTATCATGGATAAAAAAAATAGTTAAGTTTTTTCTTCAAAACATCTATCGCTATCATAGATTATCCAAGGATATTTTATTGGATAAGAAGATTCAATTTGTATAAAGATTTTGAAGAACTCTTTTTAAGATTTTAAAGATAGATGTAAAGTTATCTTTGAACTTTCATCCTCAAACTGATAGATAGATAGAGTATGTTAATTAAATTTTGGAGCTATATTTGAAATATACCATCAACTATTAATAAGATGATTGAACAACTCTTTTGCCATTAACAAACTCTGCTTATAATAGATGATATTTTTCTATTTATTAAAAAAATTATTTATTAATTATAATTATCATCTATATTTTGATACTTTTGACTTTTCAAGAGTTAATATTCTTACGACAAAAGATTTGGTAAATTTTT